GGTGCTAATAGGTTCGTAAGTTCAATTTGGCGATAGTACAGGGGTCTATGTGCAGTAAACCTTTGTTTTAATAATTATTTTTGGGGGTAATGGTGTGATCTTTCTTATGTTTCAGGAGTTTCATTCATGGAAGTGTTGGGAACAAGAAATGTTAGCTGGCTTCAGTAGAGTTTATTAAAATATCAGTTAATCGAACTATGTCGGGTTATTTGTTGTCCATTCATGTAATGTGTCATCCTGTTATTAGTGTTTCTGTTTCCATTTCTAGACCTGTGTCGTATTTTGTAACTGTTGTTTATCGGTAGTAATTTGGGGAGCTGACTATATTTATGGCTTTCTGTGTAATTCTGACTGTTGTTTGCAATGTGAACAGATGTTGGTAATCTAAATAATTTTGTGAAATTTCTGCATTACGTATTGATTTACACATTCTGGATGTCATAGGGATCATTTTGGCCGTCACAGGTGCATTTCTTCATATTTATCAATGTTTGAATCATCAGATTGATTTCTTCATATTATTTCGCCCTTTGTATGATGATGGTAATTAAAATCCATGGGTTTTGTTTTACTCTGGAATGATGCAATAAATGTGGTTGATTTTGAAAGACTTGGTCACTCTTTGGTGATGTTGATGGGGTCTTATTTTGTATGTCAAGCTATTATAATGCGTTGAATAAATTCACCATGCTTTTCAAGGATCACGAGCTATGTACAAAGCACCAAATATGTGTGGGGCCTCTTCTTGCCAAATTTAGACAGAGAACGAGGGGTCAATTGCTTTGGTCTCTTTTTATAGAGCAAGCAGAGGGATGCGTGTGGGGATTTGGATCCTCTCCACTACAAAAAAAATAGTGGAGAGACCACTACTTTTAATCTCAATCGTTGATTATTTAGTAGGCGGTTATAATATAATCTAAATCTAACACTTATCATACCCCGTGTATTGTATTCATTCCTAATTTGCACTAAAAGAAAAATCACAACCATCAACTAGATAATCAATGTTTGTGATTACGTAGTGATCCTTCTACTATTTTTTTTTGTAGTGGAGAGGATACAAATCCTGGGTGTGGACCTACTAAGCTTTGCGTATCCAATGGCACTTTTGTCATTCATGAAGTGGACCTATTAAAATGTCCACGTGGTGAAATTACAAGGCGTGTAAAATATTAATTGCTTTCAGTTATGATGATAATATTGTGCAGATTTGGTAGAAGGTTTTGACCCGCCAGCCTGCAGCAAAGTTTTGTCGCGACGAAAACCACATAATGTACTGCAAATGCAGTACATGTTGAAATCAAGGCGGTGCCAATTTTGCAGTACAATTTATTCAGAGGAAGGCAGAAGGCTGCTAACTTTTTTTAAAAGGATTTTTTTTTTTTTTTTTTTTGGCAGCAAAGTTTTGTCGCGACGAAAACCACATAATGTACTGCAAATGCAGTACATGTTGAAATCAAGGCGGTGCCAATTTTGCAGTACAATTTATTCAGAGGAAGGCAGAAGGCTGCTAACTTTTTTTAAAAGGATTTTTTTTTTTTTTTTTTTTTGGGAAAAAGAGTTCGCGGTAAAGTCATTCATGCTCCAGTCTAGACTACAAGATTACAATTTCCCTCAGAAGTTCAGAAGATAATGCAGGGGGAAATTGGTTGGTATTTATTTGAGTTGTGTACCATAATTGTAGCTTTGACATAGTAAGATTCTTTGTTTTTCGTTCATAAGATTATCCGAGTTCTCTTTGATTATCCATCTAGTCCCTCCAACACTCTAGTGAAGAAAAAGTTTCTCTGCAAAAAGCTTTTGAGATGCCCTCCAACATTCTAGTGAAGAAAAGTTTGGCTGCAAAGCTTTTGAGATGCCATCAAAAGAATTGCGGGCAAGGGCTACGAATTTCTGCATGAATTTTGAAGTATTTTCAAAGATATGAATATTATATATGTTGTCTTATCAGAGAAAGTTGATCATTTAATTTGGTAATTTAGTAATCAGTATAAAAGGTGCCCTGCCATTGAATTCGAAACGTGGCATTTAAATACATGTATATAAAAGCTAAAGAGTGAACCATAACTTCTAGATGACAGTTGGAAATTACTAGAGGCGACCTTTCTAATTACTTAAAGGAAAAATTGTTTCTAGCCCCCAAAATGATAATAAGTATTCTCTCCCCACTCAAGACTTTTTCAAAGCTCCTGAAACCCCTAAAATCAGACCCACAATTCGTTTAGCCCCCAAAACCCCATCATATGTACTTTCAAACATTTGAAGACCGTAATATTCTCATCTCTCTCTCTCTCTCTCTCTCTCTCTCTCTCTCTCTCTCTCTCTCTCATATGATGTCATTGTAGGCTCACCTCTCTCTCTCTCTCTCTCTCTCTCTCTCTCTCTCTCTCTCTCTCTCATATGATGTCATTGTAGGCATGAATAATGATTAGAAATAGATTTTGAGGGCGAAAAAAATCCTAATTCCCTCCAAATTCTTCCAACAACGTTGACATCGGTGACGGAACTTTCCCAGCGTTCGTTCATGAGACGAAAAACATTGCGATCTTAAGACGGTGGTGACGAGCAAAGGATAGAGCGTCGATTCGATGCCGCTAGCGGATCTAAAGAAGAAGAGCAACTTACCTTTAGAGATTGATCATGAAACTATGGCTGAAGTCAAGTTTGGATCATCTAAGACGAAGAAGTTTGGGCTCAAAGTGAGTTGCGATGTAATTTTTCTCCCCTTTTTTTAACTTGTACTTGAATCCAAGTGCTATTTTTTTAACATATTGTCGTAATTTTTTTTTAAAATTGATGGCTTGAGATTGAAGCAGAGTTTATAAAAATCAGAGGTTCTTTTTTGATGGTGTCTGTGAGGGGTCAACTTGCAAAAGATAAAACGCTGGGTTTGGCTTGGCTAATGGGTTAATTATGCGATTAGTTTATTTATGGTGGTGATCTTGGTTAAAAATATCAAATCATGTACGCATTTTAAACACTTTATTTTCCTTATGAATTAGTTGTTAATGTTATGAGTTTGTTGTTAAGGTTATGAGTTGGTTGTTAGCCTTATGAATTGGTCGTTAAGATTGTGAGTTGGTTGTTAAGGTTACAAATTAGTTGTTAAGGTTATAAGCCAGTTGTTAACCTTATGAATTTGTTGTTAACCTCGGTAGTGAGTTATGAGTTTGTTGTTAACCTTTATAGATGAGTGCTAGAAGCAATTAGTTGTTAAGGTTATAGGTTGGTTGTGAATGTTTCGAGTTGATTGTTAAGGTTATGAGTTTGTTGTTAAGGTTATAAGTCAGTTATCAATCTTATAAGTTTGTTGTTAACCTCAGTAGGTAATTATGAGTTGGTTGTGAATGTTATGAGTTGGTTGTTAAGGTCATGACTTTCACAACCAACTCGTAACTATCTACTGAGGTTAACAACAAACTCATAAGATTAATAACCAACTTATAACCTTAACAACCAATTTATAAACTTAGCAATCAACTTATAACGCTCTATTAATGTTAACAACAAACTCATAAGGTTAACAACCAACATATAACTTTAACAACCAACTCAAAACTCTCTATCGAGGTTAACAACAAACTTATAACCTTAACAACCAACTCATAACCTTAACAACCAATTCAGGAGGTTAACAACCAACCCATGCCATAACCTTAATAACCAACTCATAACTCTCTACCGATGTTAACATCAAACTAATAAGGTTAACAACCAACTTATAACTTTAACAACCAATTCATAACTTTAACAACAAACTCATTACCTTAATAACTAACTCATAAGGAAAATAAAGTGTTTAAAATGCTTGAAATTTTTAACCAAGATCACCCTCCACAAATAAACTAATCACATAATTAGCCTATTAGCCAAGCCAAACCCAATGTTTTAAAGACTCTGCTTCAATCTCAAGTCATCGATTTCAAAAAAAATTACAACATTATTAAAATAATAATAATAAATATAGCACTCAGATTCAAGTACAAGTTAAAGGAGGAGGAGGAGGGGGGGGATTACACAATAATAATTTAGTTAAAAAACTAGAGAAAAAGCTAAAAGGGGGAAAATATAGCACTTAGAATCAAATTGGATCGATCTAGAGCGTCCATTTTCATATTTTGATCCTTAGCTTCACTTTGTAGCTCACATCGGGAGTCGCCAGAGTTCTCGCCTTTTTCTTAGGAACGGCGACACTAAATCCATCTCAACTCACATTGATCCCAATCTTCTTCGTCATAAGAAAAATAAAGTGTTCTTCGCCTCATGAACTCAAAGCCATTAGTAGAATTTGGAGTAAACTATGATTTTTTTTCCTCCCAAACCCCATTTCTAATCATCATTCATGTCTACAGTGACATCATAACGGAGAGAGAGGGGGGTATTATGGTCTTTAAATGTTCGGAAGTACACATTAGGGGTTTAATTTCTGGTTTCGGGGGCTAAAAGAATTGTGAGTTTGATTTTAGGAGTTTTTGATAGCTTTGAAAAAGTCTGGGGTGGGGGGAGAATACTTGTTATTTTTGGGGCTAGAGCAATTTTCCCTTACTTAAATGGAGTTTATGAGAAGCTCCATTATGAGAAGATACTTTTATTCAAAAACTTGTAATGGATTTTTTTTTTCACCATTCAAAAACTCATTATTCAATGCTCTATCTACGTTCTCGTATGTATAGTGCAGAGGAACTAGAAGCAGATTTGGTCTTCGTTCCATAATCCATGTCCGTGACATTCCAGCATCATAATCATTGATGGACATCTCTTATCGTCTGGCACAGAAAAAAAATAGAAGAATCAAGAAATTCTGAATTTCCATTTTTATTTTATTTTATTTTTTATCTTTTTGAAAAAGACATTCTGAAAAGAATCTCTTTCCATGTCAAGGTTCAATCAATAGTGCCTCTTACTGTAGGAAAGCTCAGCAACTAGAACATATAACAGTAACAGTTCTAGTTCCTTTCCTCAAATACACCGATGGTTCCAATGATCAATCAGAATATATCCCACCATTCATAGCAGCAATGGTAAACGTATTTTTCTTTGAATATATGTATGTACAATGTATATTTTCCATAAGTAACTCTGTACAAGCAATTTATAATAACTGTACAATTGTAAGAATTCCAATCAACATATGTTGTTCATTGGTAGATGACATTTCAAAGCGAAGTGAAAGCAAGAATTATATACAAGAGTATCCTTTCAGCGAAGGCTAACAACCGAGATTGGAATAAAGGTTATCAAGAGCAGAATACAATGGCTGTGCAGCAATAGGTCTCTGCACCGTGCCCAAGAGAATGTCCGCCGTCGTCATATAAGGATCCCCATAAAACATCAAATTAGTATCCATCCTTGTTGTGACAATACTTCCCTCGAGGGAGACCCCAATAAAGGCACCTGTTTCAAATTTGAATAAGCGTTCAGAAATGATGGACTTGAAATGAATAATTCAAGGCAAGGGACTCTAAGCCCAGAGACGATCAGCATGGATGCACTCGTATCATAGTATTCGTGATTGAAAACTAGAATTGATGGACTTGAAATGAATAATAGAAGGCAAAGGACTCTTCAGTCCAGAGACGGATCAGCATGCATGCACTTGTATCATAGTATTCATTATCAAAGACCAGAATTGATGGACTTGAAATGAGTAATAGAAGGCAAGGGACTCTAACCCAGAGACGATCACCATGCATGCACTTATATCATAGTATTCGTGATTAGATATTGAAATGTATAATACAAGGCAAGGGACTCTAAGCCCAGAGACAATCAGCATGCTTCACTTGCATCGTAGTTTTTGTGATTAAAAATTGAAATGAATAATAGAAGGCAAGGGACTTAAGCCCCGAGATGATCAGCATGCATGCACTTGCATCATAGTATTCGTGATTAAAAACTATTATACCATACTAGTATATTGGCACGTGCAAATGCACATGCAAATTATATTGAACTTCTATCGAAATAGTTCTCGGTTATGCATGTTAATTAAGTTATAATAATTCAATCTGTATCTATCGTATTTCCAGGGGAGAAAACACGTATAATGCACGTGCTCAAAAAATAAGAATTTATTAAAAAATTACGTTTACCTTTTATGCGTCTAAAAATTATTATTGTATCCTCCATTTTAATGAGGGGAAAAAAATTGAACTCGTAATTCATATAATAGTTTACTGAGCATTACATTGTGTTGCATTTTTTGTTTTCTTAAACTATATGATTTTTTAAAAAGGCCATGCATGAAATTATAAATTTGAGAATAAAATTTAAATTTCAGATGAAGGAATGAAAGTAATGAAACCTTCTAAAAAGAGGGGAATGAAGTTTAAATTTGAAATAGAGATGGAAGGATTTGAAATTTGAAAGCAATGGAATCTTCAAGCAAGGAGAGAGAGAGGGGAAGGGAGGGATGAAACCCACATTCATAAAATGTTGACAAATGATCAAATTGCCCTCTACCCTTTACTAAAATCACCCTATATTCTTTGACAAATTGAATGAATAATTATCCATTCGTTCACTTTTGCCTACCTTCACAAAGCTTTTTATAGAGTAGTACAGATCTTCAGTTGGTAATATCCTAAAATGATAACCTTTTGAGATAGAAAACTGCAAGAATTTCTTTAGTGAAACCGTTGACTCCTTTGATGTTAAAACACACAAGACAATTGGTCAGACTAATGCAATAAATTGGACTGATGCCTGTTGTAAGAGTATGTTGAGTCCATTTGAATTCATGATTGCTGAGTCCCACGTATCAGGAAAGGACTAAAGTAATGATAAATGGATGGAGGAGGGAAGGGGGGGGGGGCGGGGGGGATGCAAGAAGATAATTGCAGGATGAATTGCAGTGTGAATTTTCTTTTTGGAGGTGCAACTTGATATGGTTATGATTAGGAAAGGGATCTATGTTGTATCATGCGATCTTAATTTGTAAATTTTACGATTGAGCATTTAGATCCATAGACTCCCTACTAACAATCAACAAAGAACCTCCTTCAAATGATCTCAATCCCATTATGCAGCTGTTAACATGTGTGTCTAGTGCACTAATTAAAACTAAGCAAACTGGAGAACATTTAGACAAATTTTAAATGTCAAAAAGCGCAGACGTGGCCTTTTTGAAGAATTATACCTTTGCTGCAGCTGTAAGTATAACACAAGCCAGAACCTCTATCCCCAGAACGGAAATCGGCTTCAAAAACCCTGCCAACTGGTCCTGCTGCAACACTCAAACCAGCTCCAAGGGAGAAGTGCATTCGGCTGCAAAATGTTTTGACAGTCTCATAACCATGAAGCACAATGATAAAGTCCATCAGTTCACCACCAATCTGTAAACAAGAGACAAATAGAAGGTTAACAAAAGTTAAATACACCTTCTAAACATGTAACCAGGGCCATCTAGGTTATTCTAACTTGCCTACGAGCAAAGAGTTGAGAGAGCTTGACTGCTGAAAACAACGGTTTCATGTACAAGGAGAATATGAAAAAATGAAAAAATTAGCATATCACAAATAGCTTTGTAATGTTGCTTACTCTATGCAATTGGAAGAGTTATTGGAGACAAATGAATTTGAGAATTTACTCCCAGACAACAAACACAAAATTAAAAGGTCTTAACAGGGAAAAGACAAGAAGCATGAACTTGCATACCTGTGCTCCCCATCCCAAACCAGCTGAGAGAATAGCAGATGGAGCTGACCATGAACCATCTGATCTTCGATACACTACTAGACCAGTCCCAAGCTTGTATGTAAGAAGGGCACCAACTTTTGCAACTGTTAGAATAGCAAGCCCGCTTGCTCCTTTGAGAACTGCCTGAGGAATTGACTTTTCAGGATTTAGTCTAGCAACCTGCAGTGAACAAGATGATATACGAAATCAAAAGGAGCCAGAAACTCTTCGTCAACATTGACACTCATTAGATTTTCTATTATTTTTAAAAAAATGAATCTGCAGTTTTTCAAAGGCTTCACCTGGCAGTAGTTCGTCAAAGTATTTGCTGCCTTATATATTTCATGCTCCATGGACAATCCTATAGGTAAATTTAACCACCCCCTAGTGCATGTCCAATCCATGACGTCATGTTTTGCTGACTGTGCTGCATTGCTTATGAAGTGCTTTAGTGTTTCTTGAACTGGTTGGAGCCTATCATAGCAAGCATCACACACTCTTTGAGGATCTTGCAACCGGAATTTAGCAGGCAACAAGCACCTTCCTTTACTGCATGCTCGACAGAATATATGTCCACAAAATCTACAGTGATGTCTCCCACGGGTAAGAGCAGTAAATGGAGAATTACACTGCATGCAGACTTTAGTGCAGCTATCAGGCAGCCATTCTGGTGGATCTGCTACCAACAAATCTCGATATACAGTATAATTAATAGCATCTTCCTCAGTTAATGGTGGTGCACTTGGTGCACATACTGATGAATGCAAAGAACTAACCCCATTTACTTCAGGTCCTAAAAATTCCACAGTTGAGTCAGATTCTTGCTCAGGTAACATGGTGCCAAGACCTTTGTTACTACCAGTCAAAATGGCAACTATCCCACTCAACACATTTTTAAGGTTCACTTCAGGCTTTGCTGGAGGCTGAGGTGAGATATAAAGATCCTCAGCCGTATCAGAATCATCATAAAGGTTGGAGTTGCCTGGTAACTGATAGAGATGATTTTGTTTCCATGTTCCTTGCCCTGATGAGCAACTGCTTTGAGCTGGGTCACTCTGGAATGCTATAAAGTTGTCACCATAACAGCCTTGGCTGACAAGTCTAGCCAATGAAGAATACGAAGACATTCCTTCAGACTTTATTACTCATTCACTCAACATTACGCGCAATTATTAACAGAACAGACCCCCACTGCAAAATGTAACATAATTTATTAAGATATGTAAAGCAATGATGAAATTCCATCTGTAGTTCCTCATGGTGTCACTATAATAGAAGCAAAGGATAAGAAAAGAAGTTGCACTTCACAGCACATGGTGAAAAGTAAAAATAGATGAAGAAAATACAATGTATTAAGCAAGAGAGTAGCATTCCCATTCAAAAGAAAATATCTGGCTAAAAAGTATTAGGAGTCATGTTTATGTGATTATAAAGCATCCTGAATACGCTTAAAAACTTCTGGAGATATGAAATAATCAGCTATAGCTGATTATTATAAAAGAAAAAAAATATAACTGATCTAACAAGAAAAATTGTTTTGCTTATTTAAAGTTGATATAACTGGTAGTTCAACCAGATATATAGGCCAAACATTGTGATTATCAAGAAGTCACAACACAAGCAAAGGATAATACAGATAATTGTCGGTGGCATGATGTTCTATGGAAACCGCGGGGCATTTAAGAATGTAAAATAGAACAAAATCTATAATAGCGAATACCTCAGTACCAAACATAAACAACAACACAGCAGCAGCAAGTACAAGGATGACAATATGGAAGCCTTTAACTAAACATCTGGGATCAGTACATGAATCATTTTTCACAACTATCTCAGTTAAATTAGCATGTAAGACATCTCATAATACTGCATCAGTCAATGTCATCATGACCTGACCATAATCCAAACTTGTTTTGACTATCACTCCTTCTAAGTGGCATGGCCATAGATGATAGATCATCATTGCACAACCTGAATCATCTAAACTACTCTACCAAAACTATTGCTGCATTACAACTACTTCAAGATTGATTCAGTAATACATTATCCTACTTTCAGGTATTGCCAGTATCAATCTCAAAGTTCTCATGTTATCTAAACTCTCTTTCTTGATACATTCTGGTGGTCCAACATTCTATCCATAGGGCATCCCTCACGTACATGCATCTAAAATTCTTCTTTCAACATCACATGCATCTTACGCCGACATAGTTAGTACTCCATAACCACTGTTCCACTTTAACTATTTTGCTTTGATTCTATTATACCATCTTCAGAATGTCACCAACATGAAGATGACACTCCTCAATGTTCTGCAGCCATCAATATTAACAATCTACTGTATCTTTTCCTAAGTTTGAGGTGCTAACCAGCATCCACATTTTACAATTCTCTTCGTATTATCATTCACAAAGAATATGATTGATCAATCAAATGACAAAAACATGCCTTCAATTTCATGGGTATTCTATAGTTAGATGGAACTTCCGCAGCGCAATAATTTAACTGAAAGTTCAGGAATCAGTAAGAAATATATGGAATTCTTTTCTTTCAAACAGGTACTTCAGGACAACTGATCTAGAAGATGCGCGTTACAAAATCTTTATGGCATTAAAATGAAACCTTGCACTTTCCTGACAATAGGAAATTTGTCACTCCACCTTCAAGTACGATAGATATTCAATGAACTCCGATATCAAAACACCGCCCTCTAACCCATAGAAGATACCTCACCTGCGTCCCATCCCCTTCCCCCCCTCACCAACAAAAAATAAATATTATTTCTCTAATTAGGCTAAGTAGATCCCCTCCAATGAGTAAGAAGCTGAATTGAAGTAATTAAGTATTCATTTAATAGGTCAACAAGAAAAATGTTGGAATAACTTCTATATAACTCAATATATCGCTTTAAGGATTGGGTGTTATCTATGGTATCACATTAGGTGCACTACGCTGATATAGACATTTATCAAAATTAAAACCACTCCTTATCTCCACATAGTCCAACTCCTGGTTCATTTAATCTAAATATTCCCTCAACTTAAAACAGCATGATGTTTAATCCTCAAACAATTTTGTCTTGTCCATCTAGTTGAGCATCTAGTCCTAAAATTTAATCATAGACCTTCAGGAGTCCCCAGATGTACCAAATCATCTACCTTTTCGATCAAGCAGTTTCTTCAACACAGAATCAATTACATATTTGTAAAGTTAATCAAATTCCATCAGAAACTACAGGAAAGCCACAGAAAATTATTAAAATCATCACATAGTTCCCTTCCGGGGATAAATAACATCAATTAAGTCTTCAACACAATGTCAATTAGAGATTGATTAAGGAGGAAAAGCATAAAAATACAAGTTTTTAAAAAAAAAAATCCAAGAACTTAGATAGGAAAACAAATGTATAGCTAAGCAGTTGAAAATTCATCAAAATACAACCTTTAAATCGCATCATACTCAGATTAACTCAGAAATTACTCGATGTTTGAACACCCAAGCAAAAAATCAATCAACGAATACAGCTATTCAAATACAAATACAGAAACCCTAGAAAGTTGGGGCATAATACAAGTGATCAATTGAATGTATAAGTACTGAGAATTCAACGAGTTACCTTTTCGATCAAAAAGGGCGAAGTTGAGAATTCGTGGTTTGGAAGAAATGAGAGAGAGAGAGAGAGAGAGAGAGAGAGAGAATTCGTGTAGAAAAAGGAAGGGTTTTTATTTTTATTTAGGGTGAAGTTTTACGCGGAAGAAATCGACAAAGGGATATAAAAGCAAACTTCTGAGGTATATTATATATATTAAAGAAGTAACGCGCCAAAATTGCAAAAAACTCCCTTAAAGTTTTGTAATTGACAAATCGATTGTTGATAAGCTGTCCTCTCGAGTTATAATGTTTATCGAATCGAACGGTCAAGAATCGAGCATATCATACTCGGCTAGCATAAAAATTCCATTTTAATACTAACACGCATTGCGTACAAACCTTTCTTAGCAATACGATTAAAATAGTTGCTTAAATGGCATACAATTAAGGTTGTGACTTGTAGGATTGCATGAATAGATGGGTACGGATCGGGGCAAGGATCACCAAATACAAATTGATTGCGGTAGGATGTAATTGGAGAGGGTGCAATTACACAAATCCTTAATCTATATTTTAATTTTAGTGGTTGAGATGAAGTCACATGGGATTTCATTATTATTTTGAAAATCATCACTATTATCTTTAAAACAAACTATTTTTAAAAGTGATATACTGTGATAGGTGGAAATCTTACATGGCTTCATTTTAGCCTTTGAATTTGGAATGGAGGGCAAGGATTACGATAATTTGAACCTTTCCAATTACCAGCTAATTGATGAGTATCCCAATTTGCAGATATAATATAGTAGACGAAATATCTAGCAACTTATATTTTGAATTATTTTTATATCTATATCCTATAACATATCATATTTTGATATTAGATATCACATTTTGCATATCAATATTGTTGGGTACCGACTCAAACTCGAAGTCGGGTGCGGGTTTGAAGGCTAGGCTCGGTCCTAGTAGTTTTCTTAGAGGACAAGTTAACTTGGCGGGCAAGTCACGGATGTCTTTAAATAAGGCATCTATTCTAAGGTTTTAGAGTATTCTTGTAATCAGGGTTTTAGATGGTGTAATCGGGTTCAACGGTATTGTGAAAGAGAGGGTTTGACAGTCTTTGTCTATGCAAAAAATTATAATTTGGAGATGACAATGGATTGATTTTGATCCCGTGGTTTTTTCCTATTGAGGGTTTTCCACATTAAATCTCGTGTGATTCTACTTGCTGTGTTTAGTGATTTTCGGAGTTTTTGTGAGATCTAAAAATCTCAATAAGTGGTGTCAAAGCGGGATTCGACGGTCTGTAGATATTTGATCGGTGTGCGATTGGTGAAGGCGTCATTAGTCGAAGCACGGTGATCGACATCTGGGGAACGAAAAAAGTACTGTAGTAGCGGGAATATTGTTCATGTGGGTGAGGGTTTGGTTACAAATTATTAAATCAAATATGATAGTGCAGATTGATTTTTTTTTATCGAGGGTTTGGAGACGGATTTTGGTGATCCAGGAGTCGTTCCTAGGGTTTTTTAACTTGCTGAGTTTGTTTTTAGCGTCAGTTTTATCAAATTCAATCTCAATACTGACTAATTTGAATTTTGATCATGGTTAGAGGTTGATGACTTCTTGGGGTCCGAAGTTCGATATTCCACTATTCAATGGCAAGACAAATTTTATAGTATGGCAGTATAAAGTTCAAGATATTCTTATGCAGCAGGATATTGATTAAGCTTTGGAGGAGAAGAAACCTGAAAGGTTGAACGATACTGAATGGAGTTCCATGCAAAAGAGGGGGATCAACGCAATTCGTTTGGCACTCGCCTCTGTGATCAAGTATAATGTTATGCAGGAGGCCACACCAAGGGGGTTGTGGGAAGGACTCAAGGGGATTTATGCGTCAAAATCGATCACCAACCGATTGTGTTTAAGGATTGAGCTTTATTCATTGAAGATGGAAGAAGGTACTGCAATTCAAGACCACATTAATGACTTTAATCATCTAGTTTACCAACTTGTGAATATTGATGAGATTAAAGAAGAAGATCATGCGCTACTCCTATTGTCTTCTTTGTTGAAGTCATACAAGCCGTTAGTTCAGACAATAATTGTATGGAAGCAGACTTTGAAGTTCGATGATGTGACAGTGCTGCTACAAGAGAATGAAAGAATAATGGGAAAGGAGAGTGCATCTAATGGTGGTGAGAGTGCACTTACTTTTAAAGGTTCTAAATGAGGGAGTAAGGGGAGATGTGACAATTTTCAAGGAATGTCAAAATCTGCAGAGACGACAGCAAAAGAGAGTACTATTATTATGGAGAGAAGGGCCATATTCAGATTAGATGTCCCCAGATGCAAGATGATTTGAAGAGTATTAAATAGATGAAGCTTCAAGAAAATGGGAAGAAGATGGACTCCTCGATAGTTATGTGTGATGAAGATGTGGTGCTGTTGATGCATAGTATAGATACTGATACGAGCAACACTTGAGTTTAGATTCTGCAGCCTCTATGCACGTTTGTAATAATAAAAATTATTTTGACACATTAAAGACAGGTGAAAAATTTGACGACGTGATCGTTGAAATTAATGAGAAGATGAATGTTGAAGGTGTTGGGAGTGTTTGCCTCAAGCTTCACACTGGGAAGGTCGGAATTCTTCATCATGTAAGATATGTGCCGTCATGTGATGCCTAATTTAATTTTGTTGGATGAGATGGCATCATGTTGGTACAAGTATGTGGGTGAAGGAAAGTGGTGCAAATGGTACAAAGATGGTGATTTGATTTTGTGAGGAAGAAAGAATAGCAACCATATTTGCTATTTAGATGGACGATCCGTTCACAAGGGAGAGTTGAAGAACAAGAAGAAGAGAGTTAATTTTCTTGAAGTCATTGAGACACTTGGAGATTTTTCGTCGAGAGAGGATATGTTAAGTACCGACTCAAACTCCAAGTCGGATGCAGGTTTGAAGGCTAGGCCCAGTTCTAGTAGTTTTCTTAGAGGCCAAGTTAACTTGGCGGACAAGTCAGGGGTGACTTTAAATAAGGCATCATGTTCTAGGGTTTTAGAGTAGAGAGAAGGAGAGGGACAATATTCTTGTAAACAGGATTTTAGAGGGTGCAACCGGGTTTGATGGTATTGTGAGAGAGTTTAGCAGTCTTTGTCCGTGCAAAAGATTGTAATTTGGAGGTGATAGTAGATTGATTTTGATCCCGTGGTTTTTTCCCGTTGAGGGTTTTTCACGTTAAATCTCGTGTGATTCTATTTGTTGCGTTTGGTGATTTTCGGGAGCTTTGTGAGATCTAAAAATCCCAACAAATATTTATACCCAAGAAGATTTCCGATGTAGGTTTGGTTTGAATGTAGTCCAAGCCCGTGATAGATACATATCCTGGGTTCATGCAAATAATATTTAGGGAATCTAACATTGACCTGTAACAAGTTGCAGTGCAAAAAATCAATGTAAAAAGAAGACAAATGTTTGCTGCACAATCTGGACTCTAGAGCAAAGACGTAGCAAACAAGCATCGCTCTCTTTCATAATTCCGGATCCAAAGTGAACCTCTCTGTATAGTTCCGAGTATCCATGTGCCGGTTATATTTGAAAAAAAAACTAGCGAAAAAGATCTAAATTAAGGAATAAACATCAGTTGGCCGACAGTGATCGGATGGCGCCGCAAATTGCCCAGTATCATCAAGTAGAGAATAATACCCAACATTACATAATGCATTACTGTAAAAACATAATCATGTTAGACTTATCTCTCTATCTAACATTATTTTAATAAAATCTCGATCAATAAGACTCCCCATACATGAGTCCATCGATCACTCAAGGTCAATGGGGTATTTGGGTTGTGGGCTCGCCATTTGTTGCTGAGGTCACGTTCTGCTCCAGTCTTACCACTGGCAATTGTAGACGAGATACCTGCAGGAGAACTAAAAATGAAAATATGGTTTAAGAAGAACGAGCATTTATGATATCGATCTTCATATATGATATAGTGCAGTAATGGTCTTGGAGACAGGTGAACATAATTTTTTCAGAGTGCGTCATAAAAGAACTGGACTCAAACATCACTTGCAAATTTCAGATATTAGATTACAAAACAACACAGTACTATGTCAAATTTCTTCAACGCCCCCCTCCCTCCTTCAGGAACTAACTACTTATCTATGTATGCATCAGTAAACAAGCTGGGTACGTTTTGTTTTAATAAGATGCATCATGAAATAAAGTCGTAAAAACGAATGGTATTACGACGCCTCAAGATTATGCCATGTCCGAAAATTATTATCAGTACGTAAATTGAACATGTATAGAATGGTGCAGTTCTATAGCAGAAGATGTCTAAACATAAGTGGAGAAACCTTGCCGAATCCCTCCAAATTCTTTGAAGTGGCGATACCTAAGTATCACGAGATGTGTGGCACCGTCACATTAGCGTCACTCTAGCCAAGAGACGGGTAACACCAGCCCCCTCTTTCCCATGTATTATTATTCTTTGTATAGGCAATCTTGTAATGAAGAAAGGTAACTTTATTTAAAAAAAAATTGCAGAAAACATAGTTGACTTATCTCATTGCGGATAGAAGGGCACCATGCGCATTACTTAAAATTATGGTTGATAGGCAGAAAGCCATTATGATCGTTAGCACATCATGGGTGGTAGGCTTATGGACATTTTTCATTATGTACTAATTTATACCACCTTATAATGACACAAGTGGCAT